TCTGGAGCAAATTAAAGGACGTATTCCCGAGCTGATCGAGGCTGACAAGATGTTATGTGAAGCACTCGGTGATGTAAAGCTTTCACAGAGAGAGATACAAGAATTGTACCGACCAATCGTGGATGAAGCTTCTGATATCAGGGGACATCTGGCGATATTTGCTTTACATGGCATCCGTGCCATTGACATCAGCAGCGAGGAGTTAGACTGGAAAGAAGAGAGTTCTTCACGTCTTGGATGCGGTGTATTTGCCACTGTGTACCAAGGGAAGATGAGAAGGCGAGGAGAGGAGCAGACTGTAGCATTAAAGGTTTGCAGGAACGAGCTTCACGCCCACAGCGCAAGCTTTATAATGGCAGAGGTAGAACTTTTGAGGTAAGAGATTCTTAAGTTTACCGAACCTCGCCCTCCATGCAAGTAAGAGCTAATTGAACTAAGACTGGAGAGGGGTTTGTCTGGTATTACAGGGCTCCTTAAGAAGCAGATACTTTGAAGAATGATCTTGTGGACTGCCCCGGTAACGCAGTATAACTTCTTTCTTAACCCGGAGTGGTCTTTTCACCTATTCTGTCTTTTCGACTCCATGTTATGAAGATCAGAGTACTTTGTTCCTACTCAGATGTGTGTGGTAGACGATCGATGTACTAACGGGCATAAGATAAGAAGGAAAGGAATATAACATTATCTTGCAGTTTAAATAAAGGAAATTTTGCTTTACTTTTATGTATATTGCGTGTTTTTTTTTTTTTTGTTTAATTTCTTGGTCAGAAAACTGGATCATCCTCACATTGTAAAGTTTTATGGCACATCCCTTCTCAAGACCGCGGACACCACAAGAGTGATCCTGGTAATGGAAAAGTGCAAAAGAGACTTGAAGAGTCATATCTTCGATCACCCGGAAGCAGCGCCAGCAAGAATCCGCAATCCTGATGTCTTTAGAGACGTATATCGATGGGCGAAAGAAATCGCTAATGCTCTTTCATTTATACACAATCAGGGATTTGTGCACAGGGATCTCAAGCTAGAGAACATATTGGTATGAGGCTGAAGTTTTTGTGTCAAGCCTATTTAAAAATACTGACCTAAATATTGCTCAAAATCTTATACTGATTTTCTGTAAATTGAATGAAAATAAGGAAATCTGTTTTCGAGTTTGAAAGGGAAAAAATGCTTTAAAACCTAAGTAAAATTCGAGAATGCGTTAAATTATGTCTGCTTTTGAGAACAGAGTTGTATATACACAAGTACTCCTAGACACTTTCTCAGTAGCAGAACAATGCAGTGGGCAGTGGGAAATACCAAATAGGAAACTGAAAATGAAAAATTGTTGTCAGCTATTCACCAAATCCCCGTTCTCTATTCCTGTTGTAGATACCCATGAATATCTGACTATATCGGATAAAATGTAGCTGAAATTAATTGAATTGAAGAAAATATAATTATTAACTTAACGTAACGTAACTTAACTTAACTTTCGTCCTTATAGTTTTCACAACCACAACACTTTCAAAAATTTTCATTAGATTCCGAAAGCACAAAACAATAAACTATCTTTTGTTGGTGTGCCTTTAAAGAAATTGTTTAATTTCCTAAATATATAATGAAAATGTATGTGCTCCTTGGTTTACATTTAAGCTATCAGAGGACAACTTAGCGAAGATAACTGATGTTGGAGTTTCTAAAGAAGTAAAGGACATCACGGGTACTTTGCAGGGGACCCCTGTGTACATCGCACCGGAAGTATTTCATTCCAAGGTGTATGACAGCAAAGCAGACATATACAGCTTTGGT